AACAAAAGATTCCACAACTATTCATTTTAACTTTTTTTTTTTTAACTCTAAAATCACTAACATAAATAAACAAAAGTAATCATTATTATATATATTACAATAAAAATTTACTATTCATCCACTAACAAGTTTTAATTTTTATTCATTAAAATTTTATTATTTTCATATTTAATCAATTTAATTATTATATTTTTATATAACTTTTTCTAACTACTCATGTTTTTGCCTTTTTATGTCACTGTTTCGGGGAGACAAAAATATTCCGAAAAAAAAAAAACACTAATATATCCATTTAGGTATACAAATTTCATTTATTTTGGTGATTAATGATATATCATATACTCCCTCCTTTTCAAATTATGTGTCGTTTTGAGAAATTTGATCATTAATAAAATAAATGATGTTTTATATCTTTTACTTACTTTTTTTTATTTTTACCCTCATCCATCTCTCCATATTAAACGTCTCTCCATATTCCATCTTTATCTTTTCCAAGAACATCATCTCTATTCCCATGGCTATCAATAATTTTTATCCCACTTGATATCTTTATATTCCTTTTCAATCCATCTTCCACAATTTGTGTCTGCCTCTTTTAATCCAAATTTTTTTTAATCCTTCGATTCTGGTTCCATAGTCCTCCTTTTTTTTGTCTTACGATTTATAGATTCGAAAGGTTATGATTCTTCAAATTGAATCCAGAAATTCACTTTGATAAATTTGTTCAATCTCACAAACTTTTTGTGGATGAATTCCTTCAACTATTAGAGAAGACAAAGGCAAGTTAAATGATGCCCATTCAATTGTTTTGCAAATTAGTGATTCAACATAGTCATTTAGAGCATGCTTGGATACAAAATTTCTCAAAAAAAATCTAAATATTTTTAACTCAACCACTTTTTTAACTCAACTTTAATTCAACCCCCCATCATCAATATTATCAATATAATTAAATAATATCAATTAATCATTCTTACACACCACCTTACCTTAATTCACTATTCATCCACTCACATAATTTTAACTAACCATCACTTTAAATCTTCTCTCTACTACTTTACATCAAATCAACGTTAATCATTTTATTTTAAATATTATTCTAATATACCCACTAATAACTACTCATACAAACTTTTTTAAAATTAACCAAATCAAACAAAAAAATCCAAACAAAACCAAATTTTTTTATATCTCCAATCATCCTCTTAAGGACTATATGTGTCTGATTCGGATGTTGAATTTGTTCATCAATGTTCTTGCCCTAATCGCTTTGCTGCTGGAACTAGTTTTTCAAAAGGTAAAAGAGCCACAATGGTTGAGGAGAAGTCTGTCGTTGCTGAAACAATTTCTCGCCTCGATGATGAAGTCGTGAACGAGATGTTTACCGTCTTTTTCCTACTCCAATAATCCAATTATTAACTCCTTAGGGTTGGAAGTTAGAGCATGTTTGTTTATGAAAAATTTTCAAAAAAAAATCACATTTTAATTCAACCATTTTTTTTAACTCAACTTTAACCCAACCCCACTATCATCAATATTATTAATATAATCAAATAATAGCAATCAATTATTCATACACACCACATCAATCTTAATTCACTATTAATCAACTCACATTATTTTAACTAACCATCACTTCAATCATTTCTCTCATACTTTTACATCAAATCAATTTTAATTTTTTTATTTGAAATATTATTTTAATATACCCACTAATAACTAACCATAACACTTTTTCAAAATTAACCAAACAAAATTAAAATATCCAAACAAAATCAAAAATTTGCATAAACAAACATGCTCTGATTTACTCACATTTATTTCATACTCAAAATCTAACTCAACTTTAACTCAACCTCACTATCTTTAATATTATTCACATAATGAAATAATACAAACCAATCATTCTTGTACATCTCATCAATTTTAATTCACTATTCATCCACTCACATAATTTTAACAACTTATCATTTCCAATAATTTTCAATCACTCCTATTTTTACATGAATCGATTTTAATAATTTTATTTTAAATATTATTTTAATATATTTTTAAAATTTCATTAATAAAATAACTTATTTTGAAATAATTATTTGATAAACACGCCCTTAATATTTCGTTTAAGTTTTTTTCTTTTCTTTTTTCTTTTTCTTTTTTTTTTNATATTCATTGGCATGTTTAATTTAATTGCCGTAAGTTCTGCTTCCAATGCTTTGGTATTATTGCTTGTGAGGACCATGACTAGGGGTTTTTTTGCATTCGTAAGTTCGTAACACCAATTAGTAATCTTAATTCAGTGAGCTTCAGGCTATTAGTAATAGAAAATGATTAGATAAATCGCTCCCTTAATATAATTTGAAAACGTGTTGAGTCTAAATGGTTGGCTCGCATGCTTCGGAAGCTTACTTGGCAATGTTACATGCTTCGGCTTTTGATTCGGATAAAAATTAGTACAATTATATTAATCGTGATTGATTTTTTTAATGTATATGGTAAGAACAATCCGAAACTAACATCAAAGGGATAACCTTTGTTTCAATTTACAGCTTATTTGTAATTATCAACTCTCGTGTGTCAAAGGGATAACCTTTGTTTCAATTTACAGCTTATTTGTAATTATCAACTCTCGTGTGTAGACCTTTTATTTTTCCTTTTCTTGATTTATTTTCTATTAATAATATGTCTTCAATATATATATATATATACTTAATTACTTAATGAAATTAAATATTTTTATTTATATGATTATTTAAAGTATAATATCTCATTGTAAATTATTTTATATATACAATATGGATGTCAAATTGAAGCTCATCGAAAGATGATTATTTTGATATATTATATATGTAACGTGTTGAGCCTAAATGGTTGGCTCGCACGCTTCGAAAGTTTACTTGACAATATAACATGTTTCGGCTTTTGGTTCGGATAAAAATTAATACAATTATATTAATCTTTATCGTGTATTCTCATATGAATAGGATTGTTTTCCCAATATTTTTGCCATGTACTCCAAAATAAATAAGATTCTTATATTTTATTAATATTTGCTACACGGGTATTTTTCTATCTTGGATGGTAAATCAACATTTTCTCTCAAATAGTAACCGTCATAAAAGATAAGAATATTATTATAATGTCCACCATATTTGATATATTAATAAAAGTCAAATGTTGCCACTAATAGACTACCCGATTAGTTTACTTAATTAGATGTTGATAATAAGCCCATATCAATATTTCTATTAATCGTGCTTTTTAATACGTGTATTTATTTCTCCACTATTGTCTCAATATTTCTATTAATCGTGCTTTTTAATACGTGTATTTATTGCATCAAATAGACATTCTCCCTTCCATAAATTATAATTCAATTCTCTCTTCTTTGTTCAACATTAATTAATGGTAGAAATTATAAAATATACATCTATTTAAGCGAAATTCGTCTTCCTATCCATGCATGTTTGGTGAAGGCATACAGTTTATTATTTAATCTAATATTTTGGGAAAAATAAACAATAACCTGCATGTGACTTTTTTTTAGTCATTTGCTCCAACTCTCATGTTTTGTATTGAGGTGATTGATGTGAATTTTAAATGTTAAAATTGCTTAATTGCTTTTCAGTATATTTTTTGCTTATTCTTTGTTTTACTTCTTTTTTCTCATCTTCATTAAATAACATTCTATTCTACTAACTCCATGAGCAACACTTTCTTAATATTGATATGATTTTTGTTGCAACAATGACAATATTATAACTAAAATTATTAATTTTGTATATAAAGAAGTTTTTCAAAATTTAAATTAACATTTTAAATTTTGTTAGTACTTTGTTATTTGTTTAACATTTTTATTTTTCGGACTTATTATTTAAATTTGTAATTATACATATTTTATTGAGCAAACAATATTTTTATCAATTACCCGTGTAGTACAGGGGTATTGCACTAGGGTCTATTATTTGAGTTAAATTTACTTT